GAGCTGTTCAGTCTAGTTGGCCCCACCAGGTGTCCAGCTGCCCCCTTTCAGTTTCCACCAAGTCCCAATGTATGAAGGTAACTGGGAACCAGGAACCAGAACTCTCTCCTGGTGTTCCTGCCTCCAGCAAGGACAGTTTTACAGTCGCTGCTCTGGGGTCCTTCTCCCACCTGGCCATTTTCTATCTCCTGCTCTCACTGCTTTTCTGCCTTCTGTTGCCTACTGTTTACAGAATGCCAGATTCCACACTGCCTACTGTTTACAGAATGCCAGATTCCACACTGCCTACTGTTTACAGAACAACACCCAGATTTCACACTGCCTACTGTTTACAGAACAGCCAGATTCCACACTGCCTACTGTTTACATCCACACTGCCTGCTGTTTACAGGAGAATGTCTAGATTCCACACTGCCTACTGTTTACAGAAGGCCCAGATTCCACACTGCCTGCTGTTTACAGGAGAATGCCCAGACCCCACGCTGTCTGCGAAGTCGGCTGTGGCAAGCCTTCTGACCTGCTCACTGACATCATCTCTGCAGAGGCTCCCAGGGTTCCAGTTCTTGAGTGATACATACATCTATCTCTAAGAGCAGGCCTTCCAAGCCTACCTGCTTGTGCCTATACTATTCTCTCTGTCTGGCTCTCCCTCCCTTGTATACCTACTCAATCCTAGTCTCCCAGATGTGGCTCTGTCCTCTGATTCGCTGTGGAGGGCTTTATGCAACCATTTATTTAGACTAAAAAAAATTGTGCAGTTTGGCAGTTCCTCAGTGTGGGTGATCATTTGGGCCTAGTTTGGGTCTGCTCACAGGTCTGCAGGGCTCTTGTGTGTCCGAGGGCCCTGGAGTTGGCTGGTGTTTGATGTCCTCACTGTCTAAATTGGTGGGGATGGGTTTCCTGAGTGGTTTCCCTTTCTCCAGCAAGCCACTTGGGAAATCCCACCCCACCTACCCCGTTGACCAATACCAAGCACTGCTTTCCCAACCTTTGCGAGATCCTATTGGCTGAGACAAATCACCTGACTCAGCCCAGACTCAGGTGGGACGGGGAGGAAAGGACTCAAGGGTGCCAACGCTAGAGGAAGGAATTTGGTGGTCCTTGTGCAGCGAGCTGTTCAAGGTGGGACAGCACAAGACGACCTACTTCTTGTGTGTCTTTATGTCTCACTAGCTTGTGGTCTTCTTGAGGTCTTGGTTTGAGATACCGCTTTCCCTAGAGCCACGGCCAGAGCACATGTGCAGTATTTATTTAACTTGGGCCCCAGTGCTTATCAGGTTAACTTGGGCTTTGAGCACCAGGTAATGGCCAGAGCAGCCGAATTGTAGTTGGTCTGGCGAGAAGGGGAGAAGGGAGGGCCAGAGGCGATTGTTTCTTCCTTTTTTTTTTTTTTTTTTTTGGACACAGCATTTCAGGGTTTCTATTCATCCCAGAGACTCTGATCTGATTCAGGCAGCCTGGTCTCCACCTTTAAATGCTGGAAACTGCATAAATCAGCATATTTCCCCCAGAGCAGAGTCCATATCCAGCACACCAGGCTGCTCGCCATAATTAGGCCTCCAGCAACGATTGTCTCTGCGCCTTGGGTTTTGTTGCCACCTCCCAGGGAAAGGGGAGGGGTGTGATATGTGTTATGACGTCTGTGAAACCCTAAATAGGAGAGGTCCTGGGCACGGTGTGCAAGGGACTCCTCAGACTGGGGTCTTCTTTCCTCCCTGGCTCTAATATGCATGGCCTACCATCTCACATCTCCTTCTCCTCCTCCTCACTTCCTTCATCTCCTTCCCCTATAACCTCTTCCTGGCCCTGTGAGCCTATTGGGGATAGCCCACCTTAGGCAGGAAAGACACTACTGAAGATTAGCAAGCCTGTATGCAGCTCAGGGCCATTTAGCCAGGGAGTTCCTGGGTCCTTGCCTGGGTGTATGTGGCTGTATATAGGGGCCCTTCAGCGTCCTGGCTGTTTGGGAAGAAGCGGGGACACGGCAAAGTCAGAAAGGGCCTCTAAATATTTAGCATAAGGGATTTTCCTGAATATGAGCAATACGGAAAAGCAGAGGTTTCTGGGAGTCTGGCTCTGTCATTCTGCCCACAAGACTGGACAGACTCTCTGGGGTTCCAGGAGTCATCTGAGTGGATTCAGGTATGTTTGGAATCCTGGCAACCGCAACCATCAGTTCTCACATGCACACATCCTTCCGCTGAAAGCTTTCCTTCTGCTTCTGGTTGGCTCTTGTTGCAGATCTGTGGGTCACAGGACAGGGTGTTGCCGCTCCCACTGACCAGATGAGGAAGCCGAGACTCAGAGGAGGTACTGCTACACCCCACATACCCCACTGTCGCTGACTGAGCAGGACTTGAATCCCATGGTGAGCTCCCTGCATTGTGTTCCTCATGCCTTCCTTTGGAGATTTTAGCCTGGTTTGCATGTGCATGTGTATGCACACGTGTGTGTGTGTGTAGTGTAATATAGTGGATGTGTGTCTGCGCATCTGTGCCTGAGCATGTAGAGGCCAGAGATCGATGTTGGGTATCTTCCTCCTTCTTACTTTTTAAGACAAGGTTTTTAACTGAACCTGGAGCTTACTGATTGGCTAGACTGGTTGGCTACCAAGCACTTAGGGATCTTCCTATCTCTGCCTCCTGATGTGGGATTCCACCCTCTAGTCTGTCTGTACCTTCCCTCCAATTGACTGTGGAGAAAAATAACTCGGATTATCCTGGTGACTCCCAGGTATATCTCTAGCTGTGATCTTTACACTGAGTTCCAAACTGGAATTTGACTTTTTTTTTTTCTGTGTTTTCAAGCTGTGTGTGGTAGGACTTCATTAACTCCAGCACTCGGGAGATGGAGGCAGGAGGACCTTGAGTTTGAGGCTAGCCTGGGCTCCATAACAAGACCCTGACTCAAAACCTCCATCTCTCTCCAAATTGCACATCTACCTACATTTCTTCATTTATTCTGCCATCATCAATGTCATCATCGTCATCATCATCATCATCATCATCATTATACTTTATTTTTATTTTTTTTGTACCACAGGGATATAATCCACAAAGTCTATATGGTGGAACACATCAGGACAAATGACCAGGTTGTTTTGACAAATGAGTTGTAAGAACATTACATGCCTTATACACAGGGGTCCCAAAGTTTAGAGAGCATAGAAGATAAGGTGTCAGTTCAAGGCAGCCAGAGGGGGCTCTTTGAGGAAGGTGACCTTGGGGGATGTCTCAAAGGAAACTATGTGGGGAACAAATTAAAAGAGGAGACACTAGGAGACTGAGAAAGCATGCTTTTGGAGTGCAATCATTTACTGGGGACTCATGGAAAGGACAGGAAGGGCAAGGGCTCTAGACTGGTTTGGGTAGAAATCGTGTTTTCTGGTTGATACCCCAGCTGGCACTTTGTGGGAGCATTTTATCTATCAGGCGCCCACACAGATGGAGCAGCGAGTCACCATGGCATTTGAAGCGCCACACTAGAATGTCTGAAAGCAAAGCCACATCCCTCCCAGAGCGAAATTGCCAATAACCTGTGTTGCTGAGAACACAGCTAGTTTCATGGGCCCCAGATGAAAGACTGAATCCCGGGTGTTGCTTCCAAGAGCTGGGTGTAATGGTAATAAGATGCCAAGATTTTAAAGGCCCCCTTCATGGGCAGAATGCCTCTCTATTCACAAATAGAAACTTGCTGAGAATTTAATTAAGATCAGTGTACATAAAACTCACTGTTCCCAAGTAAACAAATATTAAGCAAGATACTTCACTCTCGTGCCATGTGCTCCTCCGGGAAGTGAAGTAAAGGGCCAGGAGGGGTGGATGTGATGATTTCGGGGATGTGTGTGGGGGGTAAAAGATACAGAGCAGAAAATAGATTGCAGTGTGGGGAGGGAGAGGAGGAGAAAGGCAGGTGCACACAGTGCCGAGGGATGAGGGGGGCAGAGGCAGATAGAAAGAGACCCCCTCTTTCTGGCTCCATGTTATTCTGGTTCTCAAGTGCCTAGCACTTCATTGAGACAGACATCTCTTTTCACATCTGGCTGTTCCCTAGGCTTCACGCAGGCCCCACTGAGAACTCACAGTGGACGTTTTACCTGTTGTCCCCCAGTGCTTAGGGAGTGCCTTTTTGTGGGCACCTGACGGTTTCTGCCGGATGAGTCCTCTCAGCCCTGGAGACACTGATGGGAACGTAGCCTCGGGAGCAGGGGACAGTGTGCAGAAGGTGGAGCCTAAATTCCCTTTGAATTTCGGGGATGATTGCTCTTGCCCTCATCTCTTGATGCTGGGATTACAGGTGTGCCCCACCATGACTGGTGTATATGGTGCCAGGGACCAAACCCCAGCCTTCATGCATGCTAGCCAAGCGCTCTACTGGCTGAGCAGGGCGGCGGGGGGGGGGGGATGATTCTCCAACCCTCTTTTGTTTCATTTTAAAAGTATTTAATGAACAAAAACTTTGGTACATGTATGTGCTTGCTCCTCTGTGCTCTCCGTTTCCTTGCCCCCCTTCTCTGAGTCTCTTCTCTCTAGACAGTTTCACTTCTATTCTGTGTCGTCCCCCACCACCACATGTGTTTGCTGGGACCTGAACTTGGGTCCTCTGGAAGAGCAGTAAGTGCTTTTAACTGCTGGGCCAGATCTCCAGTCCCTTCCATACATGATTAAAAGAGAACACAACAACTTTTTACATTTATTTAAAGGGTGTGTATATGCTTCAAGTTTCAAGCGTTGTTTTTCTCCTTCAATGTATGGACCTCTGCACATTGAACCCAGGTCGTCAGGCGTGGTGGCAAGCATGCTTCCCGGCTTTACCACCCTGCTGATCCATGTACATGATTTTGTGTATCTATAGAAAATGTAGGAACCACAAATGAGAGACAACGTACGGTATTTGTCTTTCTGGGATTGGCTTCATCCACCTAACGTGATTATCTCCAGCAGTATCCATTTTCCTGAAAGCACGTCTTGGTTCATTATGTGGAGAAACAGTTCCGTTGTCTATGCACACCCAGTAGTTTCCTTTTCCGTTACTTTGTTGCTAGACATCCATGTGGGGTCTAGAGTTTGAATTTGAATTTCTGATGAGGCTTCAGTTCACTGGCTATTCATACACTGGTCACCGAACCTACGTGGCCCTGACACTGGAGCTTGGCCACACAGAAGCAAGATCCTGGAAGCCGCTGCCTGCCAGAAGGCCGGGAGAGACATACAGTAGGACACTTCCTGTCTAGATAGATTCACCTCTCTGGTCAGTGGGACGGGAGGGAGTGATGAGTTAATTCTGTCTCACTAGGTGGTAGAGAGGCAGTCAGGAGGTTTGTGTGGAGGAGACACTGTGTATGGAGCCTGGGGTATGAAAGCGAGAGCAAGACTGTGCAGGATTGGCAAGGCCAGCATTGAGAAGGGCGCAATGAGGCTGCAGATGGCACACACAGGCTGAAGAACCTCTGGCTTTCGAGATCTGGGCTTTGCAATAGGTGGTACATCCCTGTTTCTGGATAGAGCAAAATTTCCACTGACTTCTGTCACCTCTTCATTGTGTACTTCTGAGAAGGTGAACAGGCTCCGGCTCTACCTTCGCTCACTCATCAGAGTTCAGCTGGCGAGAGTGAGCACAAGGCAGAGCAGCTCGGAGCAGTTCCGGGGACGATGAGTGCTCAGCCCGGAACTTGCTAGTACTTTGCACTATAAAGGGAGGGAGTTCATGTCTGCAGACTTCAGAGCCCTTCACAAGGACATCTTTGTGACATGATAGTGCTCTGGGCAGTGTCCAGGAAGGCTGCTGGTCTCACTGGCCCGAGAGTTACATCAGCTTCTTATCACCACCATTCCCGTTTCCTGGGACCTAAAAACTTCCATCTTGGACATTGGAGCACAGAGGGGGTGTTGTGCTGCGGCACTCTACCGCCCCCTATGTCTGTGGGGAGTCTCGCCGTTGGGATGGAGCCCGTCTGGTGAGTGTGGGGACAGGACCGGGTGGCAGTGCTCCAGACTTCTCACTTGCCTTCAGGCCCACGTCTCACCCTTTTCGGATGCCTCTGCAGCGATGTTCTCAGATAAACTGGAGACCTCCCAACTGCCCAGCCCACCCATCCTGGTGTTGCTCTGCAAACGGGACCGGCAGATGGGCAGCGAGCCCTGCTCTGCAGAGAGCTGGAAATGGCTCTGTTTTCCTTAGACTTGGGAAATAGAAGGGGCCAGAAAGAAAACTGAAGGCGGCCTCATGTTTGTGTAGATGAGGGAACCTGAGGCTTGGAGAGAGGCGGAAGAGGTGGTTTGTTTAAGGCGGGCCTTTGTTTCCTTGGGTCAGTGTAAGCCCTTGTCTCATCTGTCAGCTAGGAACCCCTAGTCTGCTTTTAAGAAGCTTTAACGCTCTCATTAATAATTTCTCCATCCATCCATCCGTCCATCCCTCACCCATGTATTTTTCTATTCACCCATCCATCGATCCTTGCCTCAATCCATTCTTCCTTCATCCATCCTTCTATCCATCCAGTCTCTAGCAAAAAAAAACTATGATATTGTGTCTACACCAGACACTTTTTGTTGTTGGGGTTTGGGAAGTGACAAATGGATTATGAATTTGAACCCCTGTTGAGGCAGGGAGGGCCTGAAGTCACACGGCTGGTCTAATAATTTTTTTCTCTGTTTTCTCCCAAATGATTGCATTACTTTGTTAATTTAAGGCTAGCCTTCAGTAAATCACAACCCCTTTTCTGGGCAGTATTTTCTTTCTTCCTCCCCGTATGGATTTTGCTGTCTGTCCTAGGTCTCGCTGATGGGCATAATGGAGCACCCAAATAACCACTTCTGAGGCCAAGGGAGCCTGGGGTGGCTCTTGTTCCTCCAGGAAGATTAGAACACATTTCAGAGGTCATTGACTGTGTAGAGGACGGGAGGACCTTTCCAAGTTCAGGGTGAAAGGTTACAGTGCTACATTTTCCCTTAGCTCCTGAATATTGTAGAAAATGTTAGCTGCACTCCTGTATAGCCTTAGAAGTGAGAAAGGACTCAATTTCTCTCCTCTCCTCTTCTCTCCTCTCCTGTCTTCCTTTCATCCCTCCCTCCCTCCCCCTTCTTCTCTCCTCTCCCCTCCCCCT